TGTGTGTGTGTGTGTGTGTGTGTGTGTGTTTAGTTACCTGGTGGTATGTTTTAATTATAATGATGATGGGTGGTATGGTAGGAGCAAGGAATTGTGTCCGCAGAAGAGTGGGACGCGTTCATTGAAGTTCTGCGAAAGCCATTACCCGCGGCTTTCAGGATCAATTCAAGGTAATCTTTGATCTTTATTTATTATCATTGTAGTTGAATAGTTTTGGATGTTAGTGAATTTTATATAATTGTTGTTATGGGGATTACCATTTGTCTAAATGTCGAAGTATTTGCGCGTCGGAATTGGTAACATTCTGTGAAATTGCTGCTTAATCTGCTGTGGAAAGAAAGTTTGAGATGTTAAAGTTGGGTTTCAATTTTTATAGGTATTTCATGTTGTTCAGAACATGGTAAAACATGAATGAGTGGGTTTAAGATCAAAATAAATGAAATTGCATTTTCTAGCGTCAATAAGTGATTTTTCTAATGGTGAAGTCCCTAATGAAGTTGTTTTTTCCCAGTGAGGAAATGAAAAATGAACTGCTCGTCGTTGCGTTTCTTTTTTCGTGTGCAATCTTTACTTTTTATGGCAATGCTTATTATTAATGTCCAATTCCCGGACAATGCGATGGGCAGCCTCTAGAAGATATTTTCGGGCCCAAATTATTGACAGGAATTTGATTATAAAAGTTTTAACTGCATAGATTATGGTACTATGTTTGCAATTGTTTCATACATTTTTGGAAATCTTCAGCAGCCCAAAGAAAACACTTGATCAGTGGGACAAAAGACATTCATATCATCCAGTTTGAAGCTTAGATGAATATGAGATAGAATCACCGTATGCATGCAACGGTTATACTTAGTTGTTTCTCCCACTTCTTTGTGAGGAATTTTAAAAGATGCTTTATCAATCACAGTAATTTAGAGTTACCCTGTTGGTTTGATGGGTCTCCAAATATATTCTTGAAATGGTTTGGTTATTCTTTCTTAAGTGAAGAAGTAAGCTACATTCCTGCAAACAAATTAACTGAAACTTTGTTGCACATGAGTAACTACTCTATTTTTAGTTTTGCAGTAGCCAGTTTTGTGTGGATATCCGGTCGCAGTTGGAGAATGACTTTATGAAATCTCTTCGGTCTGAGGTAGATCAGATGCATTATTTTGTATTTTTATTTAGAGTTTTTCTGCTGCAACTGTGACTAGCTTGTACTGATGTAGCTGTTAGAAGATAGTCCATTGTTAATTACTTTTTTCCCCATTCTCAAATTCATGCAGGGTAGTGATGGAAGTGAAGTGGAGCCAATAAGACCATTGCCTTGGTATCCTGAGAATTTTGCTTGGCAATCAAATTTTTCTCGGATGCAACTGAGGAAGAACCAAACCCTTGAGAGGTGAAAGATAGTTTAATAGTGATTTTTCTGGTATCCTAAAGAGGGTGAAATTTTATATGTAGCCAAAAAAAGGAAAAGTAAAAATGAAAAATGGTGACTGAATGTAATCAGAAACCTCTTTAGATGCGAATTTGAGCTGATCACTTGCCTTTAAGCCTGCTGCGACACAAGTTAAAACTGGTTTAAGGGCATCTTTGGTGCTAGACTGCTAGTGCTCGGAAATGTGTGGCCACTTTTGATTGATTGTTGCCTGGGCCTTCTGCTTCGTTTATCCACATCTGTTATGTTGATGATATGCTAATGTTTCTGAAGCAAACTTCCTCCAATTAAGTATATGTTAAACAAAACAAAGCACATTCAATGTTCTGTTGTCTATGCCACATGTTTATCCTAATTATGCTGTCCATATATGCATCTTTATTGTGTGCATCCTGACAACAACAAATGGTTTGAAGATCCATGGCTATCTCNGTGGATATCTCTGTTAATATATATATTTTTTCTAATTATAGTATTAATGAATTCATTATTATATTATTGGTGACAATTTATTATGTTCTCAAATTATGTTTATAAATTATGTCCCAATAGTATTACTCGATTAAAAAAGGAGAGCTGAGCATACTGTATACAACCTTACGGCAGCATGAGTAATCCACTTTCCACTATATTATTAAAAAAGTAATGATATATAACTTAAATTTGCATCCCAAATTAAGAATGATCATTGTATTAGTAGATTTAATTTAAAAAAGTTGATGAAATCCACTAATCTATTGATCCTCCTTAATTTAGAATATAAATTTAAATTACAAATTTAAAATACATAGCACTACTCTTATTAAAATACGGGAGACTAGTCCACCAGAGAATTCAATTTCTACCATGCCATTAAAGGAAAAGGCCTTCTGTGCAAACAAAACCAGTCACACAAAGGAGAAAAGGTTTATGATCCAATACTTAAGGAGTATGTGGACTATGGGCTCATAACATGTCCCATTGGGGCCTTCTATTTGGGCCTTGGCTTGTTCAAAACTAGAGCACAACCCATTCTCTCTCTCCCTCTCTCTCTCTCTCTCTCTGCGCGAAAGGTTAGAAGCAAGAGTTGCAGAGCGCAGCCAAGAAGAAGAAGGCGAGGGAAGAGAGAGCAAATGGGAGGGGGAAGAGGAAGGTCTAGAACTCAAAGAAAACACTTTCGTCAGGGCAGAGAGAATGTTTGGAAACGCAGCAAAGTCGATTCTCAACAAGAACAAGAAGGCGATGCCGGGAACAGCAACCCTCCTTGGGAACCTTTCGCCACCCAAAACCCCTCTTTCGATGAATACTACAAGGTAATCCATCAGAACCCCCCCTCTGTGTGTGTGTGTGTGTGTGTGTGTGTGTGTTTAGTTACCTGGTGGTATGTTTTAATTATAATGATGATGGGTGGTATGGTAGGAGCAAGGAATTGTGTCCGCAGAAGAGTGGGACGCGTTCATTGAAGTTCTGCGAAAGCCATTACCCGCGGCTTTCAGGATCAATTCAAGGTAATCTTTGATCTTTATTTATTATCTTTGTAGTTGAATAGTTTTGGATGTTAGTGAATTTTATATAATTGTTGTTATGGGGATTACCATTTGTCTAAATGTCGAAGTATTTGCGCGTCGGAATTGGTAACATTCTGTGAAATTGCTGCTTAATCTGCTGTGGAAAGAAAGTTTGAGATGTTAAAGTTGGGTTTCAATTTTTATAGGTATTTCATGTTGTTCAGAACATGGTAAAACATGAATGAGTGGGTTTAAGATCAAAATAAATGAAATTGCATTTTCTAGCGTCAATAAGTGATTTTTCTAATGGTGAAGTCCCTAATGAAGTTGTTTTTTCCCAGTGAGGAAATGAAAAATGAACTGCTCGTCGTTGCGTTTCTTTTTTCGTGTGCAATCTTTACTTTTTATGGCAATGCTTATTATTAATGTCCAATTCCCGGACAATGCGATGGGCAGCCTCTAGAAGATATTTTCGGGCCCAAATTATTGACAGGAATTTGATTATAAAAGTTTTAACTGCATAGATTATGGTACTATGTTTGCAATTGTTTCATACATTTTTGGAAATCTTCAGCAGCCCAAAGAAAACACTTGATCAGTGGGACAAAAGACATTCATATCATCCAGTTTGAAGCTTAGATGAATATGAGATAGAATCACCGTATGCATGCAACGGTTATACTTAGTTGTTTCTCCCACTTCTTTGTGAGGAATTTTAAAAGATGCTTTATCAATCACAGTAATTTAGAGTTACCCTGTTGGTTTGATGGGTCTCCAAATATATTCTTGAAATGGTTTGGTTATTCTTTCTTAAGTGAAGAAGTAAGCTACATTCCTGCAAACAAATTAACTGAAACTTTGTTGCACATGAGTAACTACTCTATTTTTAGTTTTGCAGTAGCCAGTTTTGTGTGGATATCCGGTCGCAGTTGGAGAATGACTTTATGAAATCTCTTCGGTCTGAGGTAGATCAGATGCATTATTTTGTATTTTTATTTAGAGTTTTTCTGCTGCAACTGTGACTAGCTTGTACTGATGTAGCTGTTAGAAGATAGTCCATTGTTAATTACTTTTTTCCCCATTCTCAAATTCATGCAGGGTAGTGATGGAAGTGAAGTGGAGCCAATAAGACCATTGCCTTGGTATCCTGAGAATTTTGCTTGGCAATCAAATTTTTCTCGGATGCAACTGAGGAAGAACCAAACCCTTGAGAGGTGAAAGATAGTTTAATAGTGATTTTTCTGGTATCCTAAAGAGGGTGAAATTTTATATGTAGCCAAAAAAAGGAAAAGTAAAAATGAAAAATGGTGACTGAATGTAATCAGAAACCTCTTTAGATGCGAATTTGAGCTGATCACTTGCCTTTAAGCCTGCTGCGACACAAGTTAAAACTGGTTTAAGGGCATCTTTGGTGCTAGACTGCTAGTGCTCGGAAATGTGTGGCCACTTTTGATTGATTGTTGCCTGGGCCTTCTGCTTCGTTTATCCACATCTGTTATGTTGATGATATGCTAATGTTTCTGAAGCAAACTTCCTCCAATTAAGTATATGTTAAACAAAACAAAGCACATTCAATGTTCTGTTGTCTATGCCACATGTTTATCCTAATTATGCTGTCCATATATGCATCTTTATTGTGTGCATCCTGACAACAACAAATGGTTTGAAGATCCANCGAAGCACATTCAATGTTCTGTTGTCTATGCCACATGTTTATCCTAATTATGCTGTTCATATATGCATCTTTATTGTGTGCATCCTGACAACAACAAATGGTTTGAAGATCCANTGAGGCAAGCCTCCTTTTAAATTGGAATTTTGATAAATTTTTAAAATGTGGGTATAAAAATTTTATTTTTTATAAATATTTTAATTTTGATGTGAATGACTAGACTTTTGTCAGACTGAATAAAAAATTAGTTGAAGTGTATATAAATTTGATCCAAAAATCTTCAACTTTTGAACAAAAAATAAAATTTGATTGATACCTTCTCTTTGATTTGATTAAGTTCGCTATGGTCGATTTGATTAAGTTCGCTATGGTTCCGACGAATAATCTTATTGTATCATGTTTAAAAATAATCTTCAACCACAAACTTTAATTTGGACGACAGTATGTATGTATCAATTGATCGTAAAAATAATAAAATAAAATAATATATAATAAGATGACTTATCACGTGTCACATTTTGATTGGATAGAAAAAATAGAGTATCAAAAAGCCACTTTTGGCACTAAAATATAACTTTGATCAATTAAGGGCACATGTTTGGGCCATTGAATTGATCCTTACAACAACTGATTTGTATGTGTAACGCATGAGAAGGGGGGGGGGGGGGGGGGGGGNCTTTCTTAAGTGAAGAAGTAAGCTACATTCCTGCAAACAAATTAACTGAAACTTTGTTGCACATGAGTAACTACTCTATTTTTAGTTTTGCAGTAGCCAGTTTTGTGTGGATATCCGGTCGCAGTTGGAGAATGACTTTATGAAATCTCTTCGGTCTGAGGTAGATCAGATGCATTATTTTGTATTTTTATTTAGAGTTTTTCTGCTGCAACTGTGACTAGCTCGTACTGATGTAGCTGTTAGAAGATAGTCCATTGTTAATTACTTTTTTCCCCATTCTCAAATTCATGCAGGGTAGTGNCAGTCTGAGGTAGATCAGATGCATTATTTTGTATTTTTATTTAGAGTTTTTCTGCTGCAACTGTGACTAGCTTGTACTGATGTAGCTGTTAGAAGATAGTCCATTGTTAATTACTTTTTTCCCCATTCTCAAATTCATGCAGGGTAGTGATGGAAGTGAAGTGGAGCCAATAAGACCATTGCCTTGGTATCCTGAGAATTTTGCTTGGCAATCAAATTTTTCTCGGATGCAACTGAGGAAGAACCAAACCCTTGAGAGGTGAAAGATAGTTTAATAGTGATTTTTCTGGTATCCTAAAGAGGGTGAAATTTTATATGTAGCCAAAAAAAGGAAAAGTAAAAATGAAAAATGGTGACTGAATGTAATCAGAAACCTCTTTAGATGCGAATTTGAGCTGATCACTTGCCTTTAAGCCTGCTGCGACACAAGTTAAAACTGGTTTAAGGGCATCTTTGGTGCTAGACTGCTAGTGCTCGGAAATGTGTGGCCACTTTTGATTGATTGTTGCCTGGGCCTTCTGCTTCGTTTATCCACATCTGTTATGTTGATGATATGCTAATGTNTATAAGCCTGCTGCGACACAAGTTAAAACTGGTTAAGGGCATCTTTGGACTTTTGATTGATTGTTGCCTGGGCCTTCTGCTTCGTTTATCCACATCTGTTATGTTGATGATATGCTAATGTTTCTGAAGCAAACTTCCTCCAATTAAGTATATGTTAAACAAAACAAAGCACATTCAATGTTCTGTTGTCTATGCCACATGTTTATCCTAATTATGCTGTTCATATATGCATCTTTATTGTGTGCATCCTGACAACAACAAATGGTTTGAAGATCCATGGCTATCTCCTTTGGTGAATTCATTTCTGTATTTTGGATGGTTACTGCATTATTTCTCATTTGGCTTGATACCTTGGCAAATAGATATGCGACACCATTGAACATTTCCACACAGTGTTAAGTTACCAAGCACGTCTTTGCCTTTAAAATGGCTTTTAAGTATTCTAAAGATATACACATCTGGACTATGTGGAAAGAATTTTTGGCTGCTTTTATCCTTATCTTATACATGTAAATTCGTTAGTTTTTATGTTTTCTTTCTGTGGGGAAATTATGTGATAGGTCTTTATCAACGAAATACTGTTGACGTGTGGTGGCTACTGTGGCTTTTACAGTTTTACTGTAATGATTGGGTATTCTATTTCTGAAGAATGACATATAAGGATTTGAATTTTTGGTGCTTCAAATGAGGTATACCTTTGTTAGGGGGCAGACTGAGCCAGATGATCTTAGCATCTTAAGAGCCAGATGATCTTAACATCTTAAGAGCCAGATGAACTTTGCTAATTACATTTTAATTTTTTTATAGAGGACTTTGACATCACGTTTCACGTAATTATCATTTTTTCTGATAAAAAATTACAACCATGAAGTTGGACAAGAGATCCAACCCAAATGGATAATTATCAATTTTTCTTTATCTTCCTCTTTGTTTCTTTCTTTTTTAGTGGGCGTGCAACATGATTATCATGTTTATCTGACTCACGGCATTATAGTATCCGAATGATTGCAAGCCACATCATGATGTTTGATGTGCAAATGGATGAAATATTGAGCACTTTTATTTTGCAATGTGATTTTAGAGATTATACATGTGATGCTATTGTGTTTCATGGGGAAACAATATAGTAGATATGATAGGCTGATTATGGAGAACTTGATATCTATGATATTTTCTTGGAAGCTCTGATGTGAATGTTCAAAATATGTCACAGCCAACCATTTCTAGGATGCAATCTACATTGTATTCAATATTTTGATCTTTTCATTGTAGTGTTTATCATTCCATGATTGTAGTCCACAAATTTCAGGTTTCATGAATTCCTGAAGCTAGAGAATGAAATTGGAAACATCACAAGGCAGGAGGCTGTCAGCATGGTGGGGCAACTTGACAAATAGTCTGTTATTACTGGTTATACATTATGCTGTTACTTGATCTATGTTTTAAGAAATTTGGATGTTTAGTTATATTTGGGTTACTCTATCCTGTTGGTCAAGTTGCTGACTTCTATTTTGCGATTGCATTTGACCCAGGTTCCTCCACTGTTCCTGGATGTACGCCCGGATCATTTTGTTCTTGATAGTAAGCTACATTGCATTAATTTAATGCTATTAATATTCCTTTCCATTTTGATCTTATGAGTAAATTGAATTGGGCTCTTGATACATACATATGTGTGTATATATTTATATATGTATGTATGTGCCAATTCCGGAAATCATCCTTTCAGATTTGCCTAAGAAATTGTGAAACTTATCAACATAAGTTCTATATTTCCTCTATGAATGAAAGATGGGAGGATATTTTGATGATTTCCTTTGCTTTATGCAGTGTGTGCAGCTCCAGGCTCAAAAACATTTCAGTTACTTGAAATGATACACCGGTCAACAGAACCTGGTTCATTACCTTGTGGAATGGTCTTATTTCTTGTTTTACCCTTCTTTCCTCAAACTCTATTTTGCTATGGGTTCAACTTTTGTTATTCATTGCAATCCAGAGAGGAGATAGCTAGACTGCAACTTTCTCATTGGATTGCATTGTGTCTTCTTTTTCGTTGTGATAAAAACTTCCTGCATCCCAAGAATATGTAGTTTTATCGACTTTTGTACATCCCCTGGTGTAGGTGATAGCAAATGATGCTGATGTTCAAAGGTGTAATCTGCTTATCCACCAAACAAAGAGAATGTGCACTGCCAACTTGATAGTCACAAATCATGAGGCACAACACTTCCCTAGCTGCCGTTTGAATAAGAATCATGCTAATGCTTCTGAGATGGGAATTGTAAAGGAGCCTGATATTAGTCAACTTCTGTTTGATCGTGTCATGTGCGATGTTCCGTGCAGTGGGGATGGTACTCTTAGGAAGGCGCCTGATATTTGGAGAAAATGGTACTTGTTTTACGTTGGTCATAATTAAGTATATTAACTATAATTACTCTTGTTTTCATTGCCTAATGCCTGTTAATTTTTTTTCCCCTCTTTATCTTTTTTTTTTTGATACAGGGCTACTGGAATGGGCAATGGTCTTCATGGTCTACAAGTCCAGATAGCAATGAGAGGTGTGTCTACTTTGGGTTTTTATCTGTCAACCATTCTCTGCGGAGGTTAAAACGCTGAACAAGTAGCTCAGATCTTTATTGCCTCTCTGCCTGGGAGAAATCAGCTTTTGAAAAGCTTATATATGGCTTGACCATGTCTTTCCCAAAGTTAACAAGTTTATCTAGATCTTTGCTGAGAGAGGAAATGTGCTTGGTTCAATCACTCTGTGGCACAAGGGATTGCACTGAGAATAGAATGCAATTTGCTGAAAAAATGTCTTAGAGATCCAACTCTGGTGTCATGAAGGACAGTCCTGTCTTTGCTTAGCATACTTTGGCGCCTTGAAATTGCCTACGATACCATGACTAATAGGTCCAATTGTGTGTTTTAGATGTTGAACCATCTACTCACACATATGTGGGCTTACCAAGCTGAGCTCATAACCTCTTTCTTTCATTCATCAATTTCCCTCTAGTTGGTCACCTTTTTGGATGGGAATTGATTAGTGGAAGTCCTAAAAGTGATTTCTCCCGTCACACGTCAGATCAAGAGTAAGGGTAGTTTGTCAAGCTGGTGTAGTGTATTTCTACCCATAGAACGATTTGTTGGTTTTTTTGGCCGGCTGTTCATCTTTGTCAACCTTATGAAGGACGTATAGGTTTGCCTACTTGACCTATAAAATATAAGGAGGATGGGTAATTTAAAAAACAAGATGTGCCACGTAGCCATACACTAGTAGAGGTTAGCGGCTGAGTTTGCTAAGGCCTACCCTTCCAAATTATTGTATAGTAGCGCATAGTGTGGTAGGCGAGCAACTTGGTGACGCTGCTTAGGATTATGGATAGATAGCATCAGTGCATAGCATTCTTTGTGCTGAGAGTAGGGGGCAACACCATACCAACATCAAAGAACTTCTGTTCACTGACTCTCTATGGTGTTGCCTTTTGCTCCCCTACTAAACGGTAAAAGTCACGTATTGTGTTCCTTTTATCCTCCATAAATAGTTAGGTCTGATCTAGTATTTGGCCTTGCAACCAATTCAGGCTTCAACCTGATTTCTTATTTTTTAAACTAGGAAAGCCAATCACAGATTTCTAGTTTGCAATAGAACCATTGTTGTGCATTCAGAGTGAGGTTCTGAAAATAGGCCCATACATAATGGTATCAATGGCCACTGTTCATGTTGCTATCTGTTACAATGGGTCGAAAAAAAGTCAGGCCCATACATAATGGTATCAAAGGGTTCATGTTGCTATCTGTTACAATGGGTCGAAAAAAAGTCATACTTATATCACCCATTATGTCCCCATAACGCTAACATAATGGCCTAGAGCGGTTGTAACGGGCTGTTGCACGCCCATAATGGCTGCTATGAGTCCAAATTGTGTTTGATATGTGAAATTGTTGGGGGTCCTCAACATGGAAGAAGAGGAGAAGCAGCATAACAAATGTGTGATGTGTGCTGTGTGTGTGTGCGTTTGGGGGAGGGGAAGGAAAAAAGAGGTAGAGAGAGATAAAGAGAGGAATTACCAAGGACTAACATTTGCCATGGTTCTTGATTTCCCTTTCCTATCTCTTCTGCTTCAGTTGCCGCTGCAGCTGAAAGCTCAGCTGTGTCACTGGAANAAGGCCACTGTTCATGTTGCTATCTGTTACAATGGGTCGAAAAAAAGTCATACTTATATCACCCATTATGTCCCCATAACGCCAACATAATGGCCTAGAGCGGTTGTAACGGGCTGTTGCACGCCCATAATGGCTGCTATGAGTCCAAATTGTGTTTGATATGTGAAATTGTTGGGGGTCCTCAACATGGAAGAAGAGGAGAAGCAGCATAACAAATGTGTGATGTGTGTTGTGTGTGTGCACGTTTGGGGGAGGGGAAGGAAAAAAGAGGTAGAGAGAGATAGAGAGAGGAATTACCAAGGACTAACATTTGGCATGGTTCTTGATTTCCCTTTCCTATCTCTTCTGCTTCAGTTGCCGCTGCAGCTGAAAGCTCAGCTGTGTCACTGGAAGACTGATATTGCTGCTATCCCACCATCACAAGGCCTCAATTGCATTACAACTGGCCCTATTTTGTTGTGTTGTTTACTGTAGCATCCTTCACAATTTGTCGATTATGTAATTCTAGAAAGATTTTATCCAGGAATAACCTGAAACATAATTAAGCCCAAAAAGATGTAAAGGGTGAACATTAAGTTGTTTGACCTATAACTAGTTACCTTATACCTTATAACTAGTTAAAAGGTAACATCAAAATTTTATGTTTGTTTAAGTCGGTTGTTATTTTCATGTCTCGTTTATTTTGTTCTTTATTTTCGTTTTTTAAGAATTTGTTAATTTTATGTATGAAATCAAAGTGTGTGACTAAATAATATTTATTTGAAAAAAATATAATATTCATACATACTTGTAAAGTTTAAAGATGCACATTTGTATGTTTGAAATGATGTTTGAATTAAAATAGCACTAAGTTTAGTCCCCATTAATGGGGGTCTGGGAGGGTTAGATTGGGTACAAAGCCTAACCTGTCATGTTATTTGCGCGAAGTGGTTGCTCCCTTAAGTTTGAATCCAACCAAAAGGTTTTTGAGGCAAATTTTAACCACTGACCACTTCCATTTCGGTGTTTCCTGATCTAAACCCATGGTTTAGAGTTCCAATGCCATGACTCCAATATGCCCCAGTGGTAGATTCTACTTGAAATTTCAATTGTGCTTGGAATATAAGTAAAACTATTCTATTCAGCAGGCTCACCAGTCTTGGCAATTAATATTATTTCAGGTATTTCTTTGCTCAAAGTTGGTGGAAGAATGGTTTATTCGACTTGCTCAATGAATCCGGTTGAGAATGAGGCTGTGGTTGCTGAGGTAATATATTAGTAATTAGAAAGGGGTGTTATAGCTACAACTATGGAAGCAGCGTCATAATTGTTAACCATGTGATACATTTTGGAGTTAACAAGATTAACACTGATTGACACAAATGTTTGATTGTGGGAGAGGGGAGAGAGAGAGAAGAAAAGAGGATTTCTATTTTTCTATATTTTTTTTTTTTTTGTTTTGGGGGTTGGGTTTGATTTCGAGCATTCTGAGCCAACTTCCATCCTAGCTGCTGCTGCAAATAAGAGCAACTTCCTCCCCAGTGCTCATCTCTCTCTCTCTCTCTCTCTCTCTCTCTCTCTCTCTGTCCCTTTTCTCTCGTGTTGCGTGTGTGTGTGCTTACACATGTGCATTGGGTTGATGGATCAAACATCTTGTATCTCCATATGAATACATTGCAATGGCCATTATTGTCATGTTATCTTAAGGTAGTTCCTTTATCATTAATTTATTATCAATCTGGACACGTTTGTGGCAATTATGCTCACCCTTGATAATGTATTATTCACAGCATCTATTTGTATCATGTCATCCCTATATAGCTGTTGATGAGATGAGCACATGGTTAAACATCCTCCTCCTGCACCCCTCCCCTTCCAAAAAAACCCCAAAAAAGGGGGAAAGAAAGAAATAGGAAAAAAGAAAGTTTAATAGCATAATATTTGCTTTATGTTGGGTGCATGGAGAATGCTATGGGTCTTCCTCGTGTAGCAATTTGGTGATGTTTTAAGCCCGTGTCTAGACAAATATTCTCGACGCTGTTGATATCAATTTGGCAGCTGTTATTGCTAGGAATCTATACTTTGATTATCTGCTGCTAATAATCTAATCATTTAGGTTATGCCTTGTCTTATATATCATTAATGGTTAAACATCTAAATCTTTTAGTTATCTTGGACCAAAACTTAATTATTCTCTTATTAGCTGCGTTGGTGTATACCAAATTATATTATGATCATATTTGCATTTGGGCTTCTCAGGTTTGATATGCAATGCAGTGTCTTTAGTCATTTTGCTTGGACTGTTTATTTGGTACAATGTCTTGTAGTTATCTTTACTTCTCTAAGCTTCATTTTTCTTCTGTGTCTCTCTCTCTCTGAACTGATAATGTCTCAATTCACTCAGGTTCTGAGGAGGTGTGGGGAGTCTGTTGAACTTGTTGATGTCTCGAGTGAGCTCCCTCAGCTTGTTCGCAGGCCAGGCCTTAAGAAGTGGAAGGTTTGTTCTCAATTTTACTTACTGAATGATGATTTAGTGATAATATCATGCTATAAGATTTTTATTCATTTATTTGTAAATGCAGGTTCAAGATAAGAATGTCTGGTTAGCTTCTTACAAAGATGTCCCTACATTTCGCAGAGCTGGGATTAATCCCAGCATGTTTCCTTCTGGCAAAAGCTACATGGATGCATCTGACAATAGCCATGAAGCTTCCTGTGGAAAAATGCCTGACATTTGCAGTAATGGTAATTGTGAAAAGAGATCTGAGTTGTCAGAGGATCCTTTGGTTCCAACTGATGTCTCTGAGGAGGAAGTTACAACTCTTCCTTTAGAACGCTGCATGAGGATAGTACCTCATGATCAGAATACTGGAGCCTTCTTTATTGCTGTCTTTCAAAAGCTTTCTTCTTTGCCAGGTAACTCCAAAAATCATTTTAGTTATTGAACAATTTTGAGGAATCTAGGGCAGTCTAGTTGTTGGAATTGGTGAATCAAGAGGCCATGTATGGTAGGCATAATCTGTGATTCACATGTACCTAAATAGGCCTAACATGGCTTTATGATTGGTGACCGTAGTAACCAGGATCCCCAGGCCATCCCGTTCGGGGAAGGGAACTGGGGGTTGCATGCATGGGCGACATGTTCATAGTCAGCATTTTTTTTCTGCATCTTCAATTTCTTATGCACTTCTATCATGACCACATCATTGTTACTATTTTCTCGAGAAGATATTTTATTTCTCTTTCTGCAGCCATTCAGAAAAAACCGATAACTATGCGTGAGAAGCTGAATTGTAGTGATGATATTCAAGTCGAGAGATTAATACATGAGGTGAAAGAAGATAAAAATGGGGTGGGAGTCGATAATGAAACGGAGGAAGCTGCTTTGGATCCTGATACTAGTACAATGTCTGAAGAAAATGAACCAGAGGAGGTTCCTGGTGATATGGACACTGGTCCTGAGGTGGTCAGAGGAAAGAAAAAGCTACAGATTCAAGGCAAATGGCGAGGGGTGGACCCTGTTGTTTTTTTCAGGGATGATGTCATTGTAGATGGTATAAAGGCATTCTATGGTATCAAGGAATCCTTTCCATTCAGTGGTCACCTTGTCACAAGAAACAGCGATACTAACCATGTCAAGAGAATTTACTATATATCAAATTCTGTTAAGGAAATTCTTGAACTGAATTTCCTAGCTGGCCAGCAACTTAAGATAACTTCCATTGGCCTGAAGATGTTTGTGAGTTTTTCGTTTACTGTGTTTGCTATTTCTCTTGCTTGCCAGAGTGCCTTTTTGTTTGTATATTAAGAAATGTGAATTGAAGTTAATTGCTTAACTTATCAACAAATAGGTAGATTAGTACATAAAAATACCTAATGATTTTAAAGGACTCAGCAGCCTGATTTGCTAAAGAATAATTTTTTTTTCGTCAGGATGACCTTTAAATCTTGGTGTGATCCATTGTTTTGTCTGATTTTTCAGGAACGTCAAACGTCAAAAGAAGGCACTGCCTCACCCTGTTCATTCAGGATATCATCTGAAGGATTGCCTCTGCTTCTCACACATATAACAAAACAGATCTTATGCGCATCCCCAGTGGACTTCAAACATTTATTGCAATACAAAACCATCAAGTTTGCCGATTTTGTTGATGCTAAATTTGGGGAAGAGGCTTCAAATTTAATGTCGGGTTGTTGTGTGGTTGTTCTAAATAAAGGTTTGTGACCCGTCATGCATGAGCTTTCTGAAAATAGTAACTGCTTGTGCATGTGTATACTAAGCTTGTTATCCGTATTGTGCAGATGGCCAGACCTTGCCAGATCCTCTTCATGCAGATGCATCAAAGATTGCCATCGGATGCTGGAGGGGTAGGACCAATATATCTGTGATGATAACAGCTATTGACTGCCAGGAACTGCAGGAAAGGCTGTTGTTGCGCATGGAAGCCGAAAAGGGTTCTTTGTTGCAGGAAAATAAGGACTCTTCTGAGGCCGACAGACAATGTAGTGAAAGTGAATCATACAAAAATTGAAGAAGATGGTGAATCAGCGACTGTTAGTTGAATTTTTTTTTTATAGTTTGATCTCCCTGTTGTACCCTTCACTTATATTCGTCAGAAAGTTTTGTCTCCTTCTCATTATCAGANACGGTGAATCAACGACTGTTAGTTGAATTTTTTTTTTATAGTTTGATCTCTGTGTTGTACCCTTCACTTATATTCGTCAGAAAGTTTTGTCTCCTTCTCATTATCAGATGTGATAAGGATGTGTTGCTCTCTGTTTTGCTTAGATTTGAGAGTTCCACAGCTGTTGATTGTGTTTGACTATGGATAAGATAACTGATTTGTATAATGATTTGCTTGTGAATTGTAATCTGTTTTCTGATAATTAGGGATGTTTCTTCAGGCTTAAATTGGACATAGCATAGTACTCCTAATGATCTTGAATGATATTCGTTTATTCTGTGTCCTGAAATTACATTGCGTAGAAAGTTGAGAAACCGCTAAATCTTGCAAGCATTTGTATTTTGGTGTTTTAAGATCATCTTGTGGGTGCCTTATATTAACAAAAAGATTATAAGACGATTGTTGTTGTTTAGATTGAGAGAAGTATATGAATTGAACTGCTGTGACAAGTTAATCANTGGTGTTTTAAGATCATCTTGTGGGTGCCTTATATTAACAAAAAGATTATAAGACGATGGTTGTTGTTTAGATTGAGAGAAGTATATGAATTGAACTGCTGTGACAAGTTAATCATCATTTCATATAATTCTGCAGAAAAATTGTTCATAATTATGTCTCATTGGCTTTAGACTTCAGAGTATCTCATCTTCATGCCACTTTTTGTTGAAATTGACAAATAAAGAAGCTCATGAGGTAATACATAATAATAATAATAATAAAAAAAATGTTATTTAATAAGGAAAATTTTTCACTCACACCCTTTGTAATTTATCATATCTTTAACGACACCTTCTCTATTATNATAATAATAATAATAATAAAATGTTATTTAATAAGGAAAAATTTTCACTCACACCCTTTGTAATTTATCATATCTTTAACGACACCTTCTCTATTATCAAAAATATCTTTAACACCCTTTGCCATTAAACCATTATTTATAACAAATTAAATTATTTAAAATGCCAAAATTGCCCTTACATAAACTCCAATTCGAATAAAATTCAAACTAATTGAAATTTATTTTTTCTACGTATTAAAATTCGAGCTAAATTCTTTTTTTCTATTAAAATTTTAGTCTATTAAAATTCGATTCGAATTGATTAAATTTTATTTATTTATGTATTAAAATTCAGGCCTATTAATTGTTTTTTTACATATTAAAATTTGAGCTGATTTAACCTCTACTCGAGCTGTTAACCCTGATAAAAAAATTTTTCGAGCCGATTAGAATTTATATTTTTTTATTTATTAAAATTTGATTCAAGTTGATTAAAATATATTTTTTATGTATTAGAATTTGAATCAATTAAATTAATATTTTTTTATTTATCAAAATTTGGGTTAATGAAAATTTAATACGAGTTGATTAAATTTTGATTTGAGCCTCGAATAGAATTTTAATCGGCCAAAATTTTAGTAAGTAAAAAAAATATAATTTTTAATCAACTCAAATTTTAATTAGTTCAAATTAAATTTTAATATATATCATAGACAATTTAATAAAATTATATTCTAATTAACACCTTTAATCTCACGGAGGACGTCAGTAAAAATTCAAAAAATAAAAAAATTATCACAAAATAGTCCACGATGATCTAGCAAACTCTAAAAACAAAGTTCATTTTCCAACGATCAATCCCAAAAGCTAGACTCGGAAGGGCATTAGGTCAAGGTCTATGTCTTTCGGAATCCGACGTCGAGGCGGGAACTTGGGAAGAAAGCTGGCTATGCGCTTTGCAGTCTCCAAATACACAGCATACTCATATATCACACCAACACCTTCGATGTCTGTGTCATTGTGTTTTCTCAGTTCGTTACATTCTATTTCTGAAGCCAGCTTCAAACTGGCCATTACTAAACCACTTTCTGTCCTTTGGAGTTTTTCCTTCATTTTCTTCTTAAAAGTCCACGAACCAGTTTTCCAGTTGAAGTGGTACAATGGAAGGAAGCGCTGGCCATAAATGGCAGTGAACTCCAGTGCTGCTAAGATGAACTCAAATTCTTCATTGGACATGTAGTAGGGGAAGCTGATTCTTGTCCATCCTGGCTTCATTCCATTGTAACCCTGCTCATCACACAAAATCACTCTTTAGTAGTACATATAATCGAATAGTGTCGTGACGTGTTCGGATTGGATTTGGATTGACATCACGCCAGGTCACTTCTAGTTCTAATTAACTTTGACTTGATGTCTAATTCAAAATACTTATTACTAGTTGTGTCATGTTCGAGTTCACACATATATAAGCTGTGAACAAAAAATTTAATATGAGAAGAACCCATTCCTCTCCACCAACTGCACCACTCATATAGGACCTTGTAAAACAAAATCTATTTAATCTACATACTAGGAAAACATAATTTTTTTTAAAAAAAGAATTAACACCTAATAAAGAAAAAAAAAATTCTTCATACCATACAATTAAACGAGTTTGTTGTGTTAGAATTGAGTTATTCTTATTTGAATGAACCTGGCTTGTTATGATTTGTGTTAGATGGTTGTATAATTTTTGAGTTAGTATCAAGAATTAATCAATTCTAAGATGCTAATTACGTATAGTGTCGAAAATTATCCTCCCTAGTAGATTTGTGAATTCCGTTTGTGAAGAAATGGACAACTCACCATTTGAATAGCGGCTTTGAAGGCGAGTGACCGCGACTCGTCGACATTGAGTAGTCTGTGACCATAGGGTCCTGCACACGCGCACCCACCTCGAGCCTGGATGCCGAAGAGATCATTGAGGAGGCTTGCAACGAAAGGCCCATGGAGAGGCTTATCTCTCTTATTACCTGTCTCTCTCCATAGGTAAAGTCCCTTTGTGATCTCTTCTCCATCTAAATTCTCCTCAATATTTGTATTAACCGATGGAATATACGTAGTCGAGTAAACGAGAAAAGACAGGATAGCTAGTCGTTTTGCGCTCGTATTTCCTAAAATCCATATATTCGGATTCGGAAGCAACCTTGCTAGTGCTCGTTCAATATAGATGTCCTCTTGCCTTTCAATTTGTTTGTGACCAATGTATTCCTTCACCCAGAATGCCAATGCTGTTCTAATTTTCTGGATAATCGGTGGAGTTCCAGCGTCTTCTCTTTCTTCTATGTTTTTCGAATATAATGTGTCCTGAAATTCACGAAAGTTTCATTACTCGATTAGAAGTTTTTTTGAACTTTATCTTGCTTCAATTTGTCGTTGTGTTTTCAATAAAATCATGGTTTAAACTCACATTTTTCAGTGTAAAACATGTTCGCAAAATACATTTCAATAGAAAATCTTGCAAACATGTTTTCAAACATATTTTGACATGAGAAAGTACCAGCTTAAACTACATTTTAAACAATAGTATGCTGGGAATAAGTTAAAAATTGTGGTAAAATAGCATAAAGTTCAAATATTATAGTAGAATGTTTAAAGAGTTATGTCACAACCTTCATGTACTATATATTTTTGGTATAATACCAAGTCGATAAAAAACTTGGTTCCGAGAGAATATATACTCCGGCAAGCATAAAACTTGTAACAGATACCACTTGCCTTTTCATTGAAACCATTGACAAAATCAACAGTTCCTCCTCCACAAGTTGATGGAGCAGAATCCTTGAGCTGATAAAGGGCCTTGTTCATCAGAAGGATGCCCGGAGACCCCGGCCCTCCGAGAAACTTGTGCGGACTAAGAAAAACGGCGTCGTAGCCATCAATCTCTCCCGATCTCATGTTGATCTCCACATAAGGACCACTGCCATGCAAAATTTATAGCCTATGAGATTATTTATTTATTTCATTGCAATCTTAATCGGATAAAGATGCAATGATGTGGTCAAAAATCAAACCTCGTTGCTTTGCCCGACGACAATTTTTTTGATTGTATTTATTTCATATTTTTTTATACACGAATATTTTTGCACTACTCAATTTTAAATCACATAAAAATTTTGCACGCACCTTAATTAAAACATACCAAATTACTAACTTTTTATATGATCGATGGTGTAATATAAAAAGTTTAATATTTTCAAATGTAAATTGAGAATTTGAAGATTTTTCAAGGTGCAAAATGTCATTTACCCGACAATATTACTGACCCACCAAAATGTAATGCGCAAAATTTGAATAACACCATACTAACAAGAAACTAAGGCTAAAAGTCGTGAAGCTGCAATAATGATATTTTTGGTTCCATTTTTACGTATTTGATAACCATGACAACTTTCACATAAATTGAATTTTATTTTTTGTCCTATTTTTTAGCCAGCATAACATTACCCACAAAATTTAGTACCTTGCTGCAAAATCAAAGCATGCAAAACCTCCATATTGGTGGAGAAGACAAGCAAGAGCTCTTGTGTCGGAGTAAATTCCGGTGACGTTACTACAAGCAGAGAAAGAACCTAACATTGGCCGGTTTTCGCACTGATAAAAGTTAAGTTGTAGTCTCAGAGCATTCATGTCTAACAAGCCATTCTCATCCAAACCAATCTCTATCACCTCTGCCAAGCTTTGCCTCCATGAGAGGATGTTGGAGTGGTGCTCATAAGGCCCGACGAAAACTACCCATCTTTCTATATTGCTAAGGATACTCAATACTTTTTCCCTCAATTTTGAAGAGATCGCGATTCCCATGACTTCTTGGAGCCGTTTAATAGCTGCAGTTGTGCCCGAGCCACAAAATATTAGGGCATCATCTTGGCTGCCTCCTAAGCATTTCTTGACGTACTTAGATGCTTCATGCACTGTTTTTGTTGTCTTGTGCCCCACGTAACTGTCACTAGTGTGACTATTTCCTACATACAAAACTATGTTTTAAGTAGAGGTGACAATCAAATCGTGTTTGGTTATATTTGATTAGAGGGAGTGTATGTTTTTATTTTGCTCCAGTATATTTAACTATGTTTCTGTTTTTGAGAGAGATTGAGTGTGCATTCAGAGATTGTTTCTTTATTTGTGCAGCGTTTTATTAGTGTATAGGTGTGTGTTTGTATTTTTCTCATATTGTGTAAATTTGTGTGTAAGTGTGAGAATGTTTTCTCGTTTTAGTGGATGTTTTTAATCTTTATGTTAGGAACGGAACCATAAACTTATCAAAATCGAATTTTACATAATATTTATTTATAATAAGCTGAAAATGCTAATTTGACATAAATTCATAAAGAGAAAGTAGATCTCCACGTAAAAATGAGAGGGAATGTGCTTCGGTAATCTCACGTATAAAATTTGATTCATTTGTTTATTGAATTTTATTTTAAATAATGATAAATAGAAAAAACAATGGCAAAAAATGTGACGCTAACATGATAGTACTTTTATTTTGAGTAGATTGTACTTTGCGCTTCGAAAGAATTAAAATTTTATACTTTATTCTTTCAAAAATTATATTTATTACATTATACCCTCAATGTAATAAAAATTAATTCTTCCATTGAACAAAATCATCTAAATGCATTGATTGACTAACCATAGGAAGGAAGAACTTTGTTGATGATGTAGTTTTCAATGTAGTGAAGACACTGGCCGGAGGCAGTGTGATCGGCATACGTGAGCCTGCGCTTTCCGAGAGGCGTGTCAAATTGAGAATCGCGGCCAATAATCTGAGAACGAAGCCAAGATAGTTTCTTCTCCGTCGGGCACTCACTCTCCGGCACACCTTTTTCAACTATGTGAAATGATTCCTCAATGAGATGAGGGGTCAGATCATCGGCAGAACCTGGAGGTGAACTAACGGTGGTACTAAACCAAGAATGTCCCTCCTCTTGTCCTCTTTGAACGTATCTCAATGTGGGGACCTCAAACTCCATGTTTGAAATTAGAAGGTAAAAAGTATCACACAAAACAAGAAGAAGAAGAAGAAGAAGAAATGGTTGGTGCCTTGTGATGAACAGAGACTTGCATTTGTAAGTAGGCAGAAAATATTCGGTAATTATAAGGTACTGAGCTGTGATTGACAGCTGGTACTCATCACCAATCAACGGATATCACCTTATATTTTGTCATTGATAGGTACTATCACTGATAGCTAGTATTCATCATCAATCAACAGATGTCACCTCATTGACAGCTGATATTCATTTTTTTTCTCTCCACTGCCTACCTTGAGGTGTCATCCGTTGATTGGTGATGGGTACCAACTGTCAATCACAGCCTGATACCTGATAAGTACTTAATATTTTCTCGTAAGAAAGATATTGCTAGACAAATAAAAAACGACATAAAAAAAAGAGGGGTTAATAATATTTTTGATTCTTAAATTAAATATATATTTTTTGTCAATTTAGTCTTAATTGTATCAATTTTGACAATTGGGTTCTTAAAGTATTCAATTCGTGTCACTTTGGTCTTTATTTAGATAATCCGTTAATTGTTTATATGGAAGTGAAGTGATCACGTGTCATTTTTTTAAACGATATCGCGTGATCATTCTGTAAAAAATTTAACAGTCCGTCTATTTAGAGACCAAAATAACACGAATTGAATATTTTTGTGACCAAATTGATACAATGACGACTAAATTGACAAAAAATACATATTTTAGGGATTAAAAGTGTTATCAATCCTAAAAAAATTATCAAATCATGTGACACTGATGTTTTGATTTTATTTTTATTAAACTAATATTAAAAAACAATTGCCACATCATTGAGCATTATTTTCAGTTATATATATTTTTTGGGTATATTACGCCCATAAGAAAACAAAAAAAAGAAGAGAAATAGTAAGGCCACTTTGCAGGCCAAGGAACAAATAAAATTTGCCGATCGACCTTGATGTAAATACACCAAAAATATCCTCATTATTTCATTTAATTTTCACTCTAATGCCCCTCCCTATACATCACCTCCATATTCTCTCTCTCTCTCTCTCTCTCTCCATAGATGTTGCCCAAAAAGTTCAACAGTGGCAGAGTTAGGAATATTATCTAGAATTGACACACTTTAAATATAAATTTTATTTTATCCTTTAATAGATAAAAATCAAATGGTATATTTATATTTTTTACATTGTATTTGATACTTAAAAATTCATTAAACATAAAAAAATAAGGTCAGTTTGAAAAAAATTAACATCTATACATCAAGGATCAATTATATAATTTATTTGGCATAAATAAAAGTAATATTCTATAATTTTTAACCTTCTTACAAATTTCACATTTTAGTCATTTTTGGCTGTATATTTTATAATTTTTGAACCAAATTAAGGTTGCAACAAATCATATTGATATTCTAACAACACATAAATATCATGCATATGAATCAATTTTAGTTTGTTGATTTTAAGATATTTTATTTTATTTTTTGGTTCTAGTGTCAAACTTATTTGACCCAATTAATTTTGTTTTTCCTAAATCATTAGAGTGACCCAATTAAAAATAGCCAAATATATATATAAAACATATATAAGTTTAAAAAAATTATTTCTCCCCCCCCCCCCCTCCCCTAAA